TCCTTGTTGTTGGCTCCCCAGTGTCCCCCAAAGTACTTTTAAATGCCTGTACAATTAACTTTCATAATACCCATTTTTGAGTGCATGGTATAGGGGGATACATGTTGGGCTGCTAATGGCTAAGTTGTTGGTTCAAACCCAGCAGCCTCTCCGTGGAAGAAAGAGGAGGCTTCCTGCTCCTGTAAAGGTTTTTAGCTTTGGAAACCCACCAGGGTCCTCTAGGGTCGATCAGAGAGAAATGGATGCATTGAAGTGTGGCCTTGGTGAAGATTACGGAAAGTACCATGGACTGCCTAAAGAGCAAAGATACCGTGCTCCTGGGCTGTCTAATTCCACAAAGACGCACAGTCGTGGAAACCCTATTTAGGGTCATTCCTAATTGAAATTGACTCCATAGGTTTGGATTTGGGGTTTTGTTTACTAGGAAACTTCCAGGAAATCACTTTTCTTCATTGCTCCGAGAAAACAAACAAACAAACAAACAAACAAACTTGACAGGGTTTGTAAATGGATATGGCATTTTCAGAGGTCCAGGCATCTGTGGTTCAATCTAGAATGCTGAAAGATTGGCAGCTTAATTTTCCAGGCACTCTGGAAGATAAAGATGTAGTCTTCAGTCTCTGTACAGATTCATGGCTTTGGAAACCATGTGGGATAGACCTACTCTATCTTATGAGGTGACTATGAGTTGGAGACCACTTGATAGCAATAGAATTGGAGTCCTCCATCTCACTAGTCAATATTTTTTCTGCTTTCTTCTCAGGCAGTGGTGTGGTGTGGCCTGTTCGCACCAGTTCAGCAGAAAGGATCCCTACTTTTTGGTTGAATTCGGTGAACTGGTTGTTTAAATGTCACTTGTAATTCAGGTTCTCTCTCAGGTAGGTGGCTGGGTACTTGTCAAAATGGAAACCACCAATTTCCATTCCTTAAATCTGTTCGACATTCATCTGGAAGGTTTACCGGTATAAAAAAAATCAGACAGAACTATGCTTATAATATATAGTTATATAGTCACAGCATAAAACTCATTTGACCCTTGGTGTAATTGTACATTTATATTCTTGGGGGCTGGTTACTTCAGTAAACACACATAGGCTGTCATGAGAAAAAGTGCCGAACAACCAGAGTGCCAAACATGCTGTATTTGTTCTAGATTTGTGTTACACCTCAAATTCTTATGCAATACTATGAGTGAATTATGCAACTCTTAAAAGTGTTCAAAGAGCTAAGAATATTGTCAGAACAATCGCTGAAAGGGAAGAGGTTTTTTTCAAAGATGAACATAATATGTTCAGGGAAGAGAAGTTGCTTGCTTCTAATAGATCAGACACAACGACTGTGGTCTAACACTGAAGGAATGGGCTCCAACTCCAAGAATGGAAAAATGGTCCAGGACAAACAGCACAGCCTAGTGAGGATACTCAAACAAAAGCAAAGAGCATTGCAAGTGAGGGTGCCAATCAAGAAGCAATTTGGAAAGATTTTAATAACAGTTTATTGTTTTTTGTAAGGTATTATTTAATGTTTCATTAATAGCTGAAAACTCTGTCTTATAACAGTCTAGTTTTGCATACCTTTCAGTGTTCTTAGTTAAGTAATAACTGTGTGAAACAATCAGCTACCTTTCACTATATTGCTTTTTTTAATGAAAATGGCCACCAGGGCATTGAACCAGCTCTTAAATTCTTTGAACACCACCACTGCTCAGAGGTACTGATTGAGACTTGAGTCTCAGGTTTTTGAGATGCAGAATTAAGAAGAAAAAAATTTTTTTCAAATGAAAATATTATTTGCAGAATTAAGAAGAAAAAACGCCATACTTAATTCTGCAAATAATATTTTTCAGAAAGAAAAGTCCAACAAAAATATTTAAATAAACAGGGGGGAAATCCTTGTGAAGGAAAAAAAGCAGGATATATTGAAAACTAGAAAAAAACTAAAATGGGTCAAAGGGAAGATCAACTGACCAGGTACCACATTTCAACCTAATTACATTTATCATAATCAAGTTTACAAAGTCTTGCCTGAGAGCAAGGTTATCCATATCCCTTGACCATGGTCAGAGGGAATCCACCAGAATCTTAATCTATGCAGATACCCCGCAAATAGATTTTGGGCTCCCACTGTCATCCATAGCCTTCTGCAAATTGGGTGTTCACAATTTAAGCTCTGATAACATTTCTTCCTTTAGATTTTGATTTTGCTATTTATCATCACACAGGGTGGTGTGCCTCTTGCATGTGGACTTAATGGATACCCCACTTAGGTGGCTGCTTGTTTGAATATAAGCCTTTTAAGACCCCAGGCGCTATTCTTTCTGATAGCCAGGCACCATCTGCTTTCTTCTCCAGACTTTGCTGTAGCACTCATATAATCAGTAATCACTTCATGAGGGTGAGCATAGAGCAGGGCCATGTCATAAGAACAAATTGTTTTTTTAATTAAGATTAGAATAAAATGGGAGCCCAATATCCATTCATTTGTCTATAGATTATGCACATCTGTGGTTCACTTTAAACTCCTCATCTTCACTTTATGACAGAGAACATTATCAATCATTACCTTGGGAGATAAGGTTATTTTATTGATATTGTCCCTAATTTAGCATATGGCATAGAATTTAACATACTGTTCAGAAAGGGAATTTATGCAAGTGTAGATCAGTCCCAAACTACAATCCAGGAGCTGTAGATCTGTACAGATAGAACTCTGAAAGGATTGGACACTCTTTACATTGATCATAGAGGTTGTGATAGGAGAAATTTTCCAATAACATTCACTCACAAGGTCATAACCCTGTCCACCAGATTAATACATGTCATAGTCAAGCAAGGAGGCCTTCAAAATAGCAAATATATGGTGGTTCCTGGCCCCCTTCATTGGGTACCCACAAAGCAAGGGATGCCAATGAAAGTCCAGAGACTGCCAATCCCACAGCCCCAAAGTGGCCGTCATATATTTTTTCTCACACCAGGGCGTCATATATTTCTTCTCACGCACTTCTTGAAGGAGTGACCTCAGCTGAGGTGAAGTCTCCTCTTTCAAGATGGTTCTCAATATGTACACACAAGAGAGGTGACGTATAGTTCATGGATGCTAGGCAAGTTCTCTATCCTTTGGTTGGAAGACTGGAGCATAACTTAACATGACCCGAGAGCAAAAACCTGAATACGTCTGGGTATTTTTCCATATAGCAGTGGACTCATACGGTATTTGTCCTTTTGTGATTGACAAACTTCACTCAGCAGAATACCTTCCAGGTCCTAACATGTCATGCATTGTTTCATGCTGTGTTAGGCCGGGTTGACTAGAGAAACAAATCCAACGATGCTCTTATATATGTAAGAGAGAGTTTTCTATCAAGAAGTAATTATATATCAAGCAAACATTCCAGCCAAGCCCATCTCAAGCCCACAAGCCTGATACTAGTCCGTACGTCCCTCTTCAGACTCACACAGCCATATGCAATGATGCAGAATGCAGGAAGATCACAGGCCTGTGGGTGCAAAGTCATGTGGATCCAATGGCAGTGGCCACAACACAGGGCTCACAGCGACCAGCGTCAGCCAACAGGAAATTAAAGGCAGAGAGAGGGGGGGAGGTTCCTAGGGCCTTCAGTATGAGAAGGTCACGCTCACAGGGAGTCACCATTATGCTGTGACTTGATTGACAGGCTAACCTCCACCCCTATACTTTCATATAACTTCAAGTTGACATGAAATTATGTAACTACCACACATGTCTTTGCCACTTTTTTAGGGATATGTTATATATTCTACATATATACGTAACCTATAAACTGTGTGTATATACCACAGTTTCTTTATCTAATCTTCTACTGCTGGGCTGGGCACTTGGTTTATTTCTGGTTTCTTGATAATGTCAACTGGGCTACAATAAGCATGGGAGAGTACACATCCATTCATGTTCTATCTCTTATTTCTTTGAGGTGTAAGCCCAATAACAGTATTGCTAAGTCATGTGGGATTTCCATTCTCAGTTGTTTTAGATAGAACCATATTGCTTTCCATAATGGCTGTAGGAATTTACAAGTCCACCAAGAGTGTATATGAGCTCCATTATCTCCATATCCTCTCTAGGATTTGTTGTTTCCAAGAAAAATCTTTAGATAACTTACTTCATAGCATCTGTCCACCCAAAACAATTTCACATCGTGGTCTAAGCACCCCTTTTAATTCTTCGGCTTCTATCCCTATGGGAGCCACTCAAGCATATGTCTACATGATGCCCGTTACCTCTGCTCATCTCCTTCGTCTGCCCCGAGGACTTATTGCAGCCACTGCTCTTATTCTGCCCCTGCTGCAACCTTACTTAGGTTTTTTTCCTACTCAATTCTCGGATTTTCAAATTATCCAGACATGTGGTGACTGACAATTTAATACATTAGAACTGAAAAGCTCGAGGCTGAGGAAATGATATGCAGTAGAAGTACATTAAAGGAAGCTCAACATTAGAGATGGATGTATATCTCATTACAGGAATATCTTTAGTATCACCCACATCAAGGGGATAGTCTCTCCATTTCACAAGTATTGCTTTTTTAAAAATCACTTTATTGGGGGCTCACACAGCTCTTATCACAATCCAGATGTCCATCCATTGTGTCAAGCACACACACAAAAATGGAGTTTTTAACGGGAAAAACAGCATAGACTGTACCAACCAATTACAGTTTTCATAAAATAGCTTGTAGTTATGTTTTATAAGAAAATACTTGTCCTGAAATTCTTCTTGCAACATAACTCCCTTTACTTTGTCAACTAATAAAAATCACTTCTAATATACAAGCATACACTTAGGTAATAATAAGCATCACAGTCAACACACCGATGTATTTTGTGATGTCTTTTTTTCCCCTTTCATTTTGCGTCTATTTACTCGCAAGATACAATTCTTCAACTTACAACCAGACTAACATATTTTGCAATGGTTCTATCAAGTATTATCTTCAAACAGTACCTATATTTGTAAACTCTTACCCGGTCAGTCTTAGTGAGAGAAGTACAATTGGCTGTTCAACAGTTCCATTAGTCTTGGACTGGTAGGAGGAAGTTGGATGTGTGTTGATCCTTCAAGCCAGTGGTCCAAAGTAAAGTCCGAGGAGCGATCATGGAAGGAGCCCAAGGATATCCTTCACCATGAGCTGGAGAATAGGAAATGAAAAGGAAAAGCAGATGTATTACATTTCTCAATATTACTTAGACATTAAACCATGGATAACACCCTTAATTTTATCTGGTAAAAATTAAGAAGCACACGAATATGATCATCAAGAGTATGTGGTTTGACATCCTAGCTCTGCTACTCACCAGTAGCATGTTTAGCCAAGCTATGCAAGTGTATAGGCACATTAGACAACTATGGATATAATATGCTAACTCATGCAAAGTATTCCATAAAGAAAAGTTGTTTACCCCTCCTCCGCAAGAGATAAACATTATCTATGAATGTCAGTTTAAATTCCTTTATGAAATTTTAACCGACAGAAGAGGTCCACATTAAGAAAATAATGAATAAAATTAAAAGGAATTTATTCCAGAAATGCAAGTTTAGTTCATATTTAAAGATCTAACTTTTTAAAGCCTTCGAGAAAATTTAACATCCATTCATGGTGACTAAAGTCAAGAAAAGAGGACTGAATGGGAACTTTCTTGACATGCAGGACCCTTGCTGGCATAGTGGTTACACATCGGGCTGCTAGAGACATGGTCAGCATTCAAAACCACTCATCTATCCATGCGAGAAAGAAGGTTTGCTATACCCAAAAAGAGTTACCATCTTAGAAACCCACAATGGTAGTTCTACCCTGCCTTATAGAATCACCATGAGTCAGCATTGATGGGATGGCGTCAGTTGGGTTTGTTTTGTTTTTTTTGGTGTTCATAACATGAAAAGATTCTTGGTGGCACCGCGACTTAAGGGATGGGCTATTAATTGAAAGGTTGAAGGTTCAAACTAACCCACTACACCATGAAAGAAGCATGAGGCTATCTGTCTGTAAAGATTTAAAGTCTCCAAACCCCCATACAAGGTTGCTTTGAGTTGCAAATGAGTAGATGGCAAGGGAGTTTGGGGTTTGGGTTATTAACCTGAATGTATGGAGGACTTCAAAAAGCCCATGAAAATATAACCATTAATTCCATTTACTATAAACGTTTTGAAGCCTCCTCATATATCTCTCTGTCTTAAAACCCATATCTGACTGTGGTAGTTACACAATTTCATGTCAACTTGGTAGCTACAGTGGAGGGATGGAGTTTAGCCTGTCAATCAGGTCATAGTCTGATGGTGCCTCCTGGTGGGAGTGACCTTCTCATGTGAATTCTGGAAACTTCATCTTTTCCTCTCTGGAGGCAGAACACATACTCTCTCTGCTTGACGTTACTGTTGACAAGCCACATGGAGCCATGCTGATGGAAGCCAGAGCCCTGGAGATGCGTCCACTGCCACTGGATGTATAGGACTTTCCACCCACCAGCATGTGATCTTCCTGCATTCGGCATCATTGCTTGTGCTACATGAGTCTCTAGAGGAATTCATGGGCTAATATCGGACTTATGGACTTGATCTGCTCTGGCATGGGATGCTTGCTCAATATACAAATGCTCTTTGATATAAAGATCTTTTTTATACACATATGAGTGTCTCTGGATTTGTTTTTCTAGTCAACCCAGGCTAACACACTGACTGAATGAGAAAACACTAGAAGCATTTCCACTAAGATCAAAAGCAGAATAGGAAGGCAAATATTACCAATAATATTCACCATTGTTCTCATGGTATTAGGAAGTACAATTAGGCAAAAATCAATCATTCAACCGGAAGTGAAGCCCAAGGGCCAGAACTCCATACAATTGTCTGATTTCTCTGTATCTCATAAGTTTTTCATTTTTGGCAGGGTAAAGCATGAACACTTTCCTGTCACCCATTTCGGTGAAAAATATCTTAATATTCCTTCTGAGATTTCTGCCTTATGCAGATTCTAATTTCCAAAGGTATTCCTTGTAAGAATTGGCCAGGAAGAGGTAAAACGTAGATCTTGGTTTCTTTGCATCATAATTTAAATGTATCTATTCTTCCTTTCCTTGCTCACGTTCCTGAGGCAATGGGAAATAGAATGGGTTGGGTCAGGAGCCCATTTGTCCTCAAAGAGACAACCTTGCCCTTCAACACTTTAAAAAGGTTTTGTACAGCAGATTTTTGAAATGCAATATTTCATCTGATTTTTGACAACTGCTTCTATGAACATTGATTGTGGACCTAAGCAAGATGAAATCCGTCAATCTCTTCTCTACATATCGTGATGTTCATGATAGTCCCAATTGTGAGGATTTGGGTCTTTCTGTGAGTTATAATCCACACTGAAGACTGCAGTCTTTGATTGTAGTCCACCTCATTTCCATAAGCATGGTTGTGTCATTTACATATCACAGGTTGTTAATAACTCTTCCATTAATTCTGATGCTAATTTCTTCAAATAGCTCAGCTTCTTATATTATCTTCTCAGCAAGTAGATTGAATAAGTATGGTGAAAGTACACAACTATGATGAACACCTTTCTTGATTTTAAACCACTCGGTATTTCCTTGTTCTGTCCATAGGCTTGTTTTTTCATTTATGCAGAGGTCCCACACAAACAAAGTTAAGTGCTCTGGAATCCCCATTCCTCTCAATGATATCCATAGTTTGTTATGATCCACACAGTCAAATGCCTTTGTATCATCAATAAAACACAAGTAAACACCTTTCTGATATTATCTGCTTTCAGCCAAGATCAATCTGATGTCAGTAATGACATCCCTCATTCCAGGTCTCCTTCTCAATCTAGCTTAACTTTCTGGCAGCTTCCTATCAATGTACTATCAAAACTAATGAAATAAAAGCACTGGACAAAATATCTCAAAGGACTGAAGAAGATAAAATAAAGTATTATAATGAAAGATGAAAAAACATGGAGTTAGGAAAACATAAAGAACATATTTTATGCCAAGCTTTAAGAACTGAAGAAAAAAAATTCAAGCCTCAAGTTGCAATATTGAGGGATTCCATGGGCAACGTATTGAACTATGTAGGAAGCATCAGAAGAAGGTTTAAGGAATATACAGACATTGTACTAACAACAACTACCTGACATTCAACAGTTCAAGAAATAACATCTGATAATCATGAATCAACAGTACTGAAGGGAGAAGTCTAACCTGCATTGAAGTCATTAGCCAAAATCAAGAGCCCAGGAATTGATGGAATACCAATTGAAATGTTTCAATAAGCTGATGAAGTACTGAAAGCACTCGCTTGCCTATGCCAAGAAATCTGGAAGAAAGCTACCCAGACAACTGACTAGAAGAGATTCATATTTGTAACCAATTCCAAAGAAAGGTGATCCAAAAGTATGTGTAAATTATTGAATAGTATCATTAATGTCACCTGCAAGGAAAGTTTTGCTGAAGCTATTTATCATATATGAGCAATAAAGGACTCATCTCCAAAATACATAGAGAAAACAACAATAAGAAAAACAGACAATGCAAAGTTTTAAAAATGGACAAAATACACAAACATAATATCCAAATAATGGCTCAGTAGTGAAACATCAGAGAATCCAATTGAAACCACAATGGATTACGACCACATGAATTCCGAATAGCTGGTAGCATAGTGCTTATGCCTTGGGCTGCTAACTGCAAGGTTGGAAGTTCAAAGGCTCTTCACTCCTAGAAAGAGGTATAACTTAGAAATCCATAGGAAGCCGTTCTGCTCCATTCTGTAAGGTGGTTATGAATCTGAATCAGCTTGAGGGCAGTGAGTGGGTTACTGGAGTATGGAACTGTCAATGTCCTGCAGGAGAGACTGGAATGGTCAAGCTTGATGTGGTATTATGAATATGATTGTTTCACACTAAAGATGCTTATGATAGAGAGAAGAGCCAATGATATTTGAAGAAATAATAGCCCAAAGCTTCTCAGATGTAATAACAACCTACATATGCAAAAATATCAAGAATTTAACCTACAACATGGTCAAAGTCTCATCTTTCTCCCAAGGGACTGCTGGTAGTTTTGAACTGCTGACCTAATGGTTAGCAGCCAAATTTGTAACCCACTCTAGTTGTATAGTGTTGTACAGTATTAATGTGTTTAACTATTTGGTTGTGGAAACACATTTGGGTTGTTGCCTGTTTTTTTTTACTATTGCAAGACAGGTTCTCCCTTATTGTGCACATTTGTGTTCATTTTTGTGTGAGCTTAAGTTTTCATTTCTCTGGGACAAATGTTCAAGAGCACGATTGCTGGGCCATATGTTCAGGGCATGTTTTGTTTTACAAGAAACTGGCAAACTTTTGACTAGAATGGCTATACAGTTCACAGTCTTATCTCATTGAACCCATTTCATCACATCCTTCTCAGAATTCGGTGTTGTCACTGCTTTTGTATTTTAGCCATTTGATGAGTGTGTAGTGAGAGCTTTCTTGCATAGAGCCAGGAAATTACAGGAGAAGCCCGGAGGCTGCTGGTACCTCGTCTTCTCAGGGGTAAAACTTATTGAAAATGCAGGTGCTATTTTGAAACCCTAAGCAGCTCTTGTGACCTGAACACACAGAGAGATGTATATAAGAAGGCGTTGCTGACATGGTGGTGAGGTGAGGAGATAACCTTGACCTGGGGAGATGAAGGTCAGTGGCTGTGCTTTTCACAGAGCCTGATTAATATACCTCTTTATACCTCGGCTTGAAAGTCTGATTCATCCTAGTTGTACACATCTGGACATGCCAATCACTCAGCCCCTGGAGCAAACTCTATTGTAATTAGAATCAACCAACCTAATAATTATTAATTTGACTTCTTGTATTTGTGCATCTATCAATTTGTTTGTCAGAGAGACAGAGTAATTCCAATGTGCCTGAAAGTTGGGCATCTCCAGCATACCAATTGTGGGCATGGTGCAGAATGGGGCAGTGTTTCGTGCTGCTGTGGGTGGGAGGAGGAGGAGCTGACGCCATAGCATCTAACGACACAACAACAGCGCTGACAGTGACGGTTCCATGGTAGATTCCTCACATGCCTGGTAGATGCTGCCTGCCCATGGAGGCTTGTGTGTTGTCATTATGCTAATGAGGCTTCAGTAGAACTTCCTGATAAGA